CCCCTCCCTCCCATTTCCCAACCCCCCCTCGCCATAAATAATGACCACTCCCTAAAGGCACAGATAGATATTAGTGAGCTTAAGCAAGTGACGTTTTTGACAACACGAACGGCATGAGTAACGTCAGAAGACTGGGTCAAGGGCTGTAATTGGTGAAAAACGTCAATTTTACTTCCGGTCGACGTCCGTGTTGTCAAAAACGTCACTCGCTTAAGCTCACTAATACCAGATGAATCACTCAGCCAAAATTGTGTCCGCGATTTTTTATGAGCACGCGATGGCCGCCATTTTGGCAGTAAGTGTAATCCACTCCATGAAACGTGAACAATAACGCATTTTGGCAGTAAGCGCCATTTTGGCAGTAAGTGTCGGACGCGTCATCTGGCGTGATAGCCTCGCGAAAATCGCGGACACGAAAATCATAGGGATAGGTATAGAGTGATTCATCTGGTATAATCTATCATCTGTGCTAAAGGTGATGTGCGAGTTATAAATCACAAATAATAAGAAAATCCAACTTTATTTTAAAGCTCACTAAATATAACGCTCTCTCTGTCTCCTTTTTCCAACTGTCAATCAAATTAAATTATCCCCAAATAAGGTAATGTAAACTTATTAGTAATGTTCTAAATTTACCATGACAATATACGTATCATGTTTGCGAAATATTGTGGCGTTCACAATATATGTACTTACATGACGTACCTTGTAACACGACAGAGTCAGCGGAGAGGCTCAAGTGTGTTCAAAAGCGAACACAAAAACATGTCAACATAGAAGATATTACTAGTTTACCCACAGGGTAGTGAATGCTGCCTTGGTATAGCATTGTTCCCAAATCTTTAAATGAGATTTTTTGTATGTTACGTAACACGCGCTCAAAACTAATGCGTATAATATACCACACGAGATTATGACTAAAATCAAAATTTTTATTTTTCGATACGTTTCTCAGTCGGTAAAAAAACACTTAAAAAGTATGTTTAGTGCTTTATCTGTAAAATAATGCTAAAATGAAGAGATTATAGATGATACGCCAAAGAGAAAATGATGTCTGAAGTTCAGTACGTATGGCTGTAAATATAGCGTCAATTTTAAGGCATCATTGATAATTGTATTTTAATTGGTAATTTTTGCCTCTTAATATTTTAAAGAATAAGAGTAAGAAATATTCGTAACGAATTGGAATCATCCATAATTTATACACTTGAATATGCCGTATGATAACTCGGCGCTCGAAGTTTCGTATCGAAAGAGGAACAGCCAAACAGGTACGATGAGGATGGGAAGGTATGGATCACGCTTCACAACGAGAAAAAAGCCGTTTCACGATTCAAATGTCTTAAAAAAGCAATTTCACGGAAAACTAGACTCTCATAAAATAATATAATAATAATAGGTTTATTAAGACTATGTTTAATGCATGGTACAGTATCTACGGTTTAAGTTCTCTCATTTCTCTACCTGTCAGTTAAAAACTACATCATAACTTACAAGTTTGAGTGCGTGTCCTCAGCGCCAGGAACCTTGTCCTCAGCGCCAGAAACCTTGTCCTCACCGCCAGGAACCTTGTCCTCACCGCCACGAACATTGTCCTCACTGCCAGGAACCTTCTCCTCACCGCCAGGAACCTTGCCCTCACCGCCAGGAACCTTGTCCTCACCGCCAGGAACCTTGTCCTCACCGCCAAGAACCTTGTCCTCAACACAAGGAACCTTGTCCTCACCGCCAGGAACCTTGTCCTCACCGCTAGTAACCTTGTCCTCACCGCTAGTAACCTTGCCTCAGACTCCTCACCGCCTGTAACCTTGTCCTCACCG